CTGCCTCAACTTCCCAAGCAGTAAGACTATGGGTGTGCATAGTCTTGACACCAGTTCCAGAGCAATAGTACATGTTTTGCTAGGGACTGTGTTGTTATCATTATAGTACTTTTCACTTTTTCATATATGAAATTGTAATTTTCATCAACCATAGAAAATTTGTAGTCACTACTTCTTCAGAGACATTTTGCCTTCTTTCAACAACTTCAATGAAACATTTCAGGCTGCTTTAACTTGTCTTACAGTTAACTGATGGCTATTTATTTTTTAATTATTTTTCTCCCTTAATCATTTTATATAGTTTTATTGCTATTATCCCTACATTTATTACCATTTTAATATATAACATGTAATAAGTCAATCGATGTTTTTCATCTCAAATATTGTAGATTTTCTCTACAAATTTTATTTGGGTCTTCTAAAACATCTTCTATGCTTTGCTTGATTTTTTCCCCATAGTTTTATTGATAAACAAATAGCAATGAGACAGTTTCAAATTAAATCGGTAGGACAGTTTCAATAATTAACACACTGCATATATTCTTCTTAGTGGTTAATTGCTGTTCAAGATGCGGACTTGATATCCTATTTACAAACACCATTAGAACAAATCCCTCTATTCATTAAGAGAATGTAACTATATATCTATCCCAATCACTTTGAATACACAGATACAAAATGGACATTCATCTGTATACCCTTTTTTTGTTAAGTTCCGTTAGTTGAATATTACAGGTGTGTAAACTCAGCAAAATATTCTAAAAGAGTTCAGTATCCCATAATACTATTGGGTCTTCCGCTTAACCGGCAATGTCAGAAATTGTTTACCTCAGTCGCCTACAGCTCAACATAACAGCTTGGTTTTATTTCTTATATTACGTTTTTATACTTTCCTTCTGGATGGTTAAGACCAAGGTAAAGCAGGACCTATCAACAAGCGTTGTTTGTTTGATGTTTTGAAATACAAATATTCATTGTTTAATGCCCACCTTTTTTACAACTATTCAGACTTATGGCTGAGGTGACCTGTTTAGACTTATGCCATAACTTAGTCTTATGATCTGTCTTTTTTTGCACTGTTCTGTACATCTTGTTTATAGAGCCTCAATATTATTTTTGGTACATTGCACCTTATTTATACAGTCCTGTAAATTTGCTGATTGTTTATACAGTACTGTAGTTTTACGTTCTTTTAAACATTTCAGTACTGCATATGAGTTATGCAAATAAAAGCAAAATCATCAAGTTGGAGCTTCCTTTGAACTTTACTTTGTTCTCAATAGTAAATGTATATAATACACACGATTCTTCATTAAGGATCAATTCAATGACTTTGTAGCAGAAATATAACTTGTTGTTAAATAATGAATATTTGCATGCAGTTCATTATTTTAAAAGTATTCTCACCCTTTTGTGCCATACACCCTTATGTGCCATACAGACCATATTTTTTTTTAATCTATGGTAACTAAAACAATTGTATACACATTCCTCAGAATATTTGAGTGGATATCAAATACAAATTTTATTTTGGTGGATCCTGGATAATTTTGTTTTATTTCAAATACCCTTGAAGGTTTTTATTTTTCTGGACTAAGGTTAAGTTATTTGGAATAAGTTTGATCTTTTGGGAACTTGAATTGAAAATTTTACAGACAAGAGAAAAATACTGTCAAATCTAGGCTAATTGTTCCACAAACCTAAAGAAAAATCTTTTTGATTACAAACCTCACTATCTCTTGTATTATGACTTTTTTTTGTCTGACTAGGGGATAAAAGACCTATGTTCAGCTTTGTGTGAATATCACATACCATCATTTCTAATTTTTTGATAGTTATGTCTCTAGTATTGTCTAACTTTTAAATACAACTGTACTTATCAATGTCAGTTCAATAATTCAGGAATACCTTCTATGGATCTCTAAAGTGCTTTTCTCTTTATAGATCTTTATCTCTTGTACTCTATTTTGAAAATACAAGGCTGCCTGTGTCTCTAGTTTCTGTTGTTTTTCTCATTCTGGCATTGGCCAAGTTTCACATGTATGTCCCTGAAGCATGCTGCTGGTCATAATTCTTTCAATATAGTGAGTTGGAGAAATCAAAGGCCTCACCTAGTTTTATCATTACCTTTCACATGTCACGATTTTTCATTGCCTGTTATACAGTGTCTCCATCATTATTATTTTATATATTCTATATTTTGTATGATTCACTACAGAGGGAGCTTACATCCAGTCCCTGCTTCTTCAACTTGGTTGAAAACAGAAACCTGATTGTGCTAGTTTCATTTTTAAATGACACTGAATTGGCTGATTGTTGCATTAACTATTTTTCATATAATGAAAACTTACTAAATTACATATTTGCCTCTGTATACAGCTGCTATAGAATATCAAACATTTTATTTTATGTGATTACTGTATCATTTAATAATTAATTTTCAAATACTGCAATTCAAAATTTTGGTATTCTAATCATTGATTTTTGATCAAATAATGAGTCATGAATTTTCTTTCTTTTTCTCTGCTTTAGAGATATTATTTCATGCTTAGTACAAAAATAGAGCACAGTCACGTTAACATTTCATGAACCATTACACTGACTACATAAAATTCACTTTTTTAAACATATTCAAGTCCAAGATAACTTTTTGAAATACTGTGTATATTCCTTCTCCAAATGTTTATCTTCAGAAGCTCTACTTATTTTCACAAGTAAGTTTCTGGCAATCCTGTTGGAAGACTTCTTTCTTTCTCATATAAATATTAGCCATTTCCATTATAAAACATTACTTGTGCATGTTTAGCTTAAAGCTCTGACTGATTGAAGTGAGTCAGCATATGAAGGACCGCAAGCAATGGTGGTTGGTTCAAGGAAGGGTGATACAAATCACTTTAAATTAATGAAGTTTACTTCGTTACTTTCCTTCAGAAAGGATTTGTGATCTTGCCTTTGATAGCATAGATGCACAATTTCTGCAGCCATTTTTTGGTGATGCTGGGAATATTTGAGATTGATAGATATAGAAATTTTATTATAGACTTAGAATATTTAAAACATGATGGAATGTGGAACTGAACTGAAAGAGAAATATATATGTGTGATATGAATTTAATTTGGTGATAGAGTTTGGTAGCAACCAAGTCAATCTTGAACTTTTTAGTAATTGAAGTCAATAATGGCTTTCATTTTTTCTCTTTTTCTTAAGTGAACTTGAATTGGATTTTTTATTAGATGCAAATAAAAGCATGTAAATATAGACCTGGACTGATGATTGAAATGATTATCATGTTTGCCATAGGCATTAGAGGATAATTATGGCTACCTGAAATTTTTTTTCCTGTATTTTAGGGAAGGGTCTACAGGGTATTCAGGCTCTCACTACTACATCAGACTTACAGTGATCTGCCTGTTCACAGCCTCCTAAAACCTGGGATTACAAGTGGGTGCCACCATGCCCAGTCTCAATTGCTGTCTCTAAGTGCTCCATGGGTGCGCCAGCACTGAGGGCTGGGGATTGAACCACTGGCCCCGTGCCTGCTTGCAGGTGCTTTAATCTGCTTAGCTATTTGGCCAGCCCTTGAATTTTGTAATATATTACTCATGCTCTAATACTTAAACACTATAATTTTTTCAAATAAATTAAACGTTCTTCAAAGTCTTGCTGAGCATCTTCTGCCTTCTTTATTTAAAATGGCAAAAGCCGTGCTTGCTTCAGCAGCATATATACTAAAATTGGAAAGATGCAGTGAACATTAGAGTGGCCCCTGCACAAGGATGACATGTAAAATAGCAAAAGCTTTCATCATTTGGTTTATAAAGCCATTAGCACAATAGACGCTGCAAAGGAATAAAGAAAATAGATACCCTGATAAACAGGTTTCCTTAGAGAGAGAAGTCATATGAATTTTCTCACTGTGAAAATTAAACAAATAATTTTTATAGCATAGCATTTTGTGAGCACATTCTGATTCTGTTAAATATTTATTCAATTAGGATGATCCTTAAATATCTGGTAAAGTAATATTATATTTAAGATTCTTTAAACATTGTCTATATTTAGAATATTAATTTGAAATACACTGTAGAAAAAATATGAATTGAAAACAAAATGAACATTCTGGATAATCAGTATTTTACTGATCATTCATTTATAAACTGTTGTTTGTTTCCTTAGATTCTTCAGGGGATGAGAATTAAACCATCTACCAAAGGAAAAGAAAGAATATCTTTTGTCTCAAAAATACTTCAGAAGGGCTGGGGAGATGGCTCAGTGGAATAAGTACTTCCCTGGCAAGTGCAAGGGCCTAAGTTCAATTTCTGGTTCCGAAAAAAAAAAAAAAAAAAAAAAAAAAAAAAAAAAAAAAAACTTCAGAAAGTGCTTCAAAGTTAAATTTGTAACACTTTGTAAAGTGTTCTGTAAGAGCAGGTTGCATGTATTTCTTAAAATATATTTTATTTTACTTTCAGGCCAATCCCACATATAACAGTAAAATGGCAGAATATTCTATTGACTACTCATTGTCACACAAGTATTCTAGTTTTGGAGAATAAAAACAGAAAATCATCTAGGATAAATGGAAGCCATTCCTAGTTTTCTTTGTCCCACTATTTTCTTCATGTTTGTTCTGTTTTTCCAAAGGAGAAGTTTGTCTTGTTTACCAGAGAGTCAATCTCAAGTTTTGGAATTACTCTAAAAAGAAGAGATGCCAGGCATGTCTTAGTTTCAGGTATCATTTAAGGACATGCCTTTATAATATGAGAGGAGAGGAGAAATGATAGAGAAACATTTCAAATCTAAATTTCAGAGCACACATGCATATTTTCAAAAGCTTAATAGAAACAAACACTGTAGTGACAAAACAATGTTAAGATGCATATCAGGTACTTGATGCAAAGAGGTAATAGTAAAACTGAGTTTTCAGTAACTCTCCTAAAGAAAAAAAAAATAACATGCTGTTTTATTCTAGTATGTGTCCAAAAGATACTATTCTATGTAACCAAATAACCATTATAAAATATTGTACTAATACCACATTAAGAGTATCCTGTTAATATTTTTTCCTTAATTCATATAGATCTGACTAATATAACCTTGGCTATATGTACTCAGACTAGAAGATAGACAATTGGCAGCTAGGATAGGTAAATGAGCAAACGGAGATAAGCCCTGGGAATATTAAAATGCAAGGAGAAAGAGGTACACCGGAGTAGGTGAGCAGGAATAATTCCAGCACTCAGGAGGCTAAAGCAGGAGGATGACTGTGAATTTGAAGCCACCGTGGGCTACAAACTATGTTCAAGGCCAGCCAGAACTGCATATAAAAATTCTATCTCAAAAAAGAAGAAAAAGCACACTGAAGCATGTCACTGGATCCCAGAGAATATTTTGTGTTCCACTAACATTAAATCTCTATCTAAAAATGACAGCCCATTGTTTCAAAAGGAAAGAGCCTGGGTATCATTAGACAGGCACTGAGAATCTGGGGTACAAGCAAACTCTACTCCTGATGTAAGAAGCTGAGCCAAAAGAGGAAATCACAATGATTATCTCACTTTTGCCCACCAAGCAGAGTAGCTCAACAGAATGCGTGAAGTTAGCCATATCCTTGGCATCCTCCATCAGAGCACCTAGTGTCTAGTGCCAACATTTCTTTATTCTGTCTAATAAATTGCATTATGTCTATTCTGCATTGTTATCTTTTGACTCTTTTTTCATTGTCCCTGGGAAAAGATCACAGAGGGAAAAGAGAATTGGTTACATCTTTGGTGCCCACTGTGGGGCACATTTCTCTATGGAGAGGTACATTTGTCAGAATGATTGAACTTCACTTTTTTCTCTTTCTTAAATTCTAAGAAACATCTCTCTGTCATAGTTAAAAACTACTATAACACGGCTCTCTTGAAACCAGGAAGAGGTTTGGCAGTAAACTTCTAGTTAATCTCTACTGAACACTAGTTATAGTCGGAATGATGAACATGTGCGGATCTGGATTCCTTTCTCAGGTTGATCTCTAGTTGTGAGGAACTGGCAAAAACTTATGTGACAGTTGTAATACTCAGGATACAACTACTTTCTGGTACATGCTTGAGGGTCCTCTGGTACAAACTGGGTTTCAACAGCTCAACTGTATAGCCAGCCAGAGAAACCTCCACTTACCTATCACATTGAGCCCACACTCCTCTGCGATGTGAAAAGTAAAAACTCTCAGTGCTGTCTAGATATCCCCTTTCCTTAGTGACTTGAGGCTCTTCCAATAGAGCCCTCTCTTAAGTCTCTATTAAGAACATAGCAAAGATCTGGTCTTTTCTCTCTATGCTAGTTTGACAGACTTAATCTTTTTCAGATATGTCTTGATAGATTTACTGGGCCAGTAGGATCATAGTTCACATTCTGGCCACCCCAGATGTCCATTGACTTTGGTGTTATGACCCTTCCCAAGCAACCATGGAACCAAAACCTGGAACATCATGCCCCTGGGTTCCCCAGGAAAGTAATTTTACAACAACAATTAAGGCTGAAGGAAAGACTTTTAAGCCTTGGTCATATAATTGGAAATGAGTTCCACTGTAGCCTGAGATCTTTTTCACTTCTCACACTACTGCTAATTTAAGAACTCATAGATTAGTATCTCCTCAGTCAATATATGGGGTAGGGTTGCCTCTTAAATGTTATGTGGGTTGCTGCAAAAATAAATATAGAATCAGTTTCAACTCTTTCCTTCATAGTCCAGGAGTATGACTACTACTTCACTGGACAACAGCCATTTGAACTACTCTCCTTCTATCGGAGGCTGGGCTAAAGGATACAAATCCATCTACCAATTAGGAGGATAAGGTCATCAGTGCACCCTCCTCACATTATGTAAGTGCAACTAATGTCAACTAGGCCTTGGAGCAGGAATTTCCACCCTTGCTCTCGTGAACAGAGGGAGGCAAGAAGGAGAAAGAAAGAGTAGATATAAACTGGATGTGCTTTCATTATAACCTCTCTTATATGGAAGGAATTTTGAGATTGAAAGGACCTTTCCTGTTACTTCCCCTTGCACCCTCTAACAAAAAAAAAGTTTACTGTAATAACTCTCAATACACAGGGATGGCAGTCAAAAGAACCATTTACCATAATAACTCTAATTCAGGGGTATAACTGTCAAAGGATCATTTTACCAAAATAGCTTCAATACAAAGTGCCCCAAAGAGCCTATGCTGTGGTGATAAGGATCTCAAAATAAAGATAAACAATCAGTTTAACTCTTATTTAAATATTTTTTACTTTCACAGTGTACGATATTTTTTTTTCTTTCCCTTTCTGATTCTTATTGGTGTTAACTTATTGCAAGAGGTGTACATTATTTCCATAAAAGTATCAATTGTTAATTAAGAAAAGTTCTGGCTGTCCTACTTATAGTTATAAATCTAATACTATGTCAGAGTATTATAGATCAATTTGGTCAATACATCTAAGAGTGCACTCTAATTTAAAAATAATTGTTTCATGTGTTCTGTTTCTTGATTTTTTTCTTTTGAACTAATATAGTACTTGAAGCTACTTTATTAAAGATTTTTTTCAGCTTATATCAATTTTATTTTTATTTCCTTTTTTCCTTTGTATGTTGTGAAAAACAGACAATAAATTGACATAGAAACAGTCCAAGGCCCTCCCTGCCCTCCCTTGTGTTTCTCTTTTGGATTCTAGAGATCCTGCTTCTTCCTGGTCACCACTGCTGAGATCTTGAGGGTCAATGAGGCTGTGATTCTCACAGTAGGATGAGATATGCTGAGGACAATACAGGGAGGGTTAGTACCCAGGTGTAAGAATGAATCATAACTTGTTTCTTATTTGATATTAAACTTGCCCTTTCCATATGAGATAAATACACAATGCTCAGAGGAAGGTATACAAGTGGCAAATAGATACATGGAAAAGGGTTCTATAGCCCTTTTGAGAAGCACAAATTAAATCATCACTGACATTGCATCTCACCTAACAATGAAAGTTCATCATATCACATTAACTAACAACAAAGCCTGGAGCAGTTGTAGAGAAAAACGAACTCTACTCCATTGTTGGTCGAACTGTAAACTGAAACAAGCTCTATGGAATTTAGTGAGGAAATCACTCAAAAAAATTTCTGGGCAACCTGAAAACAGAGAGGGAGGCAAGAGCAAAGGACAAGAAGCTCCTAGTGACTCCCCTTCTTCTACCAAACTTCAGCACTGAAGAGCAAGGAGGTCAGCTATGACCTCACCAGTGGATGGGCCCACCAATGACATAGCTCCAGCATGACCTAATCACCTTCCAAGTGCACGTGACTTGGAGCTACATTTTTAAATCTAAACCATAACAAATGATGAAATGATTGGCAGAGCCTTAAGCTCAGAAAATTCCCTGGGTTTGGTGGACTAAATTCTCTTTATCCCAAGAATTTGATTATTGGGAAATATTTTCTTTCTTTCTTCTTTCCATCTTTCATGCAACATTACTACTTAAGCTCAAAGAGACAAACTATGGGCTGTTTCCCCCAGCCACCACCAAGTTCATATGTTGAAATCTCAATCCTCAATAAAATTGTAGTATTAGGAGATGGGGTCTTTGGTTGATGGTTAAGTCATGTAGACCAATCTCTTTAGAAAAGAGACTTCAGAGAGGGCCCTGCTTCTACAACTGTGAAAAATAAATTTCAGTTTCTATAATATTTAGTCTCCGTGTTTTTATAGCAGCCCAAATGGGCTGAATGGACATATGTACAAATAATTTCACTGCCCCAGAAGGAGAAATTTATCTAAACTATTTGCAAGTCTTATCTCATGA